ACACAGTTCCTCATCGCTAGGAAATTGGTGGTACGACACACCCGGTGTCTTCCCTTGCTGTGACTTACACAGCGGCATGCAACAATAAACCATGGCTACGCAAGTGCAGTTAGCGTGCCTGAGCGTGTCTGATGCATTGTTTACCCGAGGCCATCGAACGCAGTCAAGAAAAGTCGCAGTCGTCGACGCGGGGAGCCGGCGGAGCTTACAGTGAGGTGGTGCTGCCCTCTACGCGTCAGAAAAAAATGTATGCGCGGCGCCGGTATTGAGAAGGCCATAAGGAGCGTGCGGAAGGAGCGTCGAGTCCGGCCGTGATTTAGCAAATGCGTTTTTATATGAAATTATTTTTAATGTTTTTTTAGTCGCATACCTACTTAATAGTGCTTTTTGTAAAAATCGCATAAAGAGTATTCACAAGAAATCAATAGAGATGAAATTAGGATACTTTTCCGAAGATCAAACAGCGCCAGCTGAGCCTCCTCGCGGCAACTGTTACAACCTTGTCATTGCCGTGTGACACTGCCACAACTCCTTCTCCGTCGAACCCCCTAAGGGAGATTTACGTTGACGGTGTTTAACGAAGTTTGGTGGTGGCCGTGTGACAGGGGTATCAGCCACCCCAAACCGCCCGCGCTCCATTGACAGGCGGCGAGCTTTCCTGCAACTCTCAAAAGTAGCGGTAGAGCGGCGGTTGTTTACGAATGCTGCACACATCGATGGCGTCGAGAGCGCCACTTTAATTTAGCGGCATACGCGCGCCGCAGCCTTGTAGCTTGCAGTCGTTGCAGTCTCTATGGTGTCAACGGCACACTGCGCACTTGTTGCAAGCTCCTCCCCCGTAGCATCGGCAGGCATCGGTCGTTGTGCTCGCAGTGTTCGTGCGTTCGGAGTTAGGCCTGTCGCGCGCTGTGCTGCGCGACAGGCCTAACTCTGAACGGCGGAGCTCACGGATGTGGAGATTGTCGCCGAAGCTACTGCTGAGCAGCCAAATGAAGACTCTGCCTAGGTGGATCCCGCAAGCGCTGATGGTGCCCTGCTCCCGACATCAGCTGAGGTCGTAGCTGCCTTGGCCCTTGTGCGCCGCCACTGCGGCGTGATTGAAGGCACCGGCCTATCACTTATGGATCGCCTGGACTATATTGAGGACGCAGTCATCAAACACGCTATGGCCAACAAATAGCAGGCTACTCTTTTTCAATATTTTAAACCAACACAATAAATACTATGTTTGAATCTTCAAGTGAGTATTTACTGCACCACGCTTGAACGGTTCGTTGGTTGTTTTCAGCAAGCTGTTGACGCATTTTTTTCGTGATTTCTTTTATATTGAATTTTGGATATATCGAACTATTTCGCGATCGCCGCGCCGTTCGATATATCGAGGTTTGACTTATTTGATTAGGTACTGCGAAACGAAAGTCCTACAACGAGGCACCGCCAATGAGATTGCGCACTTTTTCATGAACAACATCATTCTCCGCCATGGAGCGCCAACAGTTGTCATTACTTACCGTGGAACAGCTTTTACAGCACAACTGATGCAAGATGTCATGAGGCTTAACGGAACCTCTCATCGCAAAACCGCATACTATTCACAAACGAATGGTCTGACGGTCGCTCGCAAGACGCTCGCCGACATGTTGTCCTTGTACGTTTACCGCTATAACAAAAACTGGGATGCTGTGCAGAGTGAGAGCTCAATGTATGACAATGTCTAAGATGACAATATTATCAACAGCTGTGCCCTACTTACCGAGAAATTAAGGTAAATGCACAAGAACACATGCGCCACAGTAAGACATTCTCGAAGTGATGCAGTTGACGTCGGACAAACCGTCTACAATTAATCACCAGTAATCAATCTAGCTGCACTAAATAAAGAACCTTTCGTACATCGAACTGGACGGGTCGTGCTATCTAGCATGGCCCAGTTGAACCAAGCACGCTGGCAATTTTGAAGGCCATGGCTAAAGATTGTTCAATATCCTTTATTGCATCTGTGGTTCCCGCTACTTTCCCTCTGCTGCTACTGTAGTGTCGGTGGCCGCGTATTAAAGTTCGTTTGTGTAAAGCTGATAATGTAACTGCTGACATTACGTTGTTGATGTTAATGTAGTAACAATATTAAGCTTCATGTACCCTTATATATGGCAGAGCAGAGTGGATAAGCTAATTGAGAAGCTAGAACCAGCTGAAGTGGCCACAAGAAGGTTACCGTAATTACTCGAATCTAATGCGCACCTCTTTTCCGGTTAAGCGAGTTCATAAATCGCATGCGTGTTAGAATCGAGTACGAAAAAAAAAAGAATACGGTCATTCCATTGCCATCGGCAATTCCAAAATAGCCGCCCTCTACGTGCGTCGGCATGGCGCGTCGGCCATTTCTGCCTGTGCGGCACTTCGTACGTGTGCTGAGGAGTTCGTCATCTTGTAGTGTATTGGCATCGACAGCATGAAAGGGCCGACTCCAAAAACTCGAGTGCACCACGATGCTGCTTTTAAAAGAAAAGTAATCGCGTGTGCAGAAACAGACGGAAATCGGTTCGCATCGCGGTCGTTCGGAGTTCCCGAAATGTGCGTGCGGGACTGACGGAAACAAAAGCAGAAGATTGTCGACAGCAAAGCTTCACGCAAAGGCCTCAGTGGACCACAGCAGAGTCAGTTTCCGCAAATTGAAGAGCTGCTCGGCGAGTATGTGCTTGAGCAGCGAGCGGCACAGCGGCTCGTGATGACAGAACTGCTCCAAGTGCGGGCTATGCAGTTAACCTTAGAAAAGGGGCTAATGCGGAGCCAGTTTAAAGCGAGCAGGTGCTGGCTAACTAACTTTATCAAGAGGGAAGGCCTTTCCCTCTGAAGGCGAACGGGCATATGCCAAAAGTTGCCGGAGGAGTACGAAGAAAAGCTTCACAGTTTTCAGAGGTTCGTCCTACACTTGCGGCACAATAACGGCTACCTGCTTGGGCAAATCCGGAATACCGATCAGACGCCTCTTTACTTCGACATGCCTAACACCACAATCGTCGAGAAGAAGGGGGCGAAGCAAGTTCGCGTGCTGACATCGGTCCACGGTAGAGCTACAGTGACTGCAATGCTCTGTTACACGTCAGATTGGCACAAGCTTCCCTCGTACCTCATATTTAAATGGCAGACGCTCCCGAAAGGAGTCGTTTTTTCGAGTGGTGTGATCGTGTGGGCCAACGAGAAAAGCAGGTGCACGTTGCAATCGATGTCTTAATTTTTTTTTTTTTTCGTCGTCGAAACCGGGTGCACGTTACAATAGAGGGTGCGGTAGAATCAAGTAAATACGGTATTTTATTCAACCCACTGCTCAATGGCAAGATTATTTCAGCGGCATGTTCCTCATAAAAATATGCAGTTGCGTCTTTACCACTAATTTGTGACTCAGGTTTTCACTGGTCTGCTAAGTCTTGATGTGGATGATCGACTTCATTTGGAGAATACGGCCTTTATACTTATTTATTTGTGGGAGGGCTGGGCAGTATCGGGATCCTCGTATCATGATAGTATCTCAGCGATACTTTTGAGTATCTGTATTTCTGAATCGTATTTCTGTATTTGTATTTCTGTATCGTAAACGAACACACAGCAGACTCAGCCGGACGAAACCAAACAAACATGCTTATTTAACTTCTTTTAGAATGATATCACAAACCAAACTAATAGATAACTGGTGATCAGCATCCTGAAACAACCTTACACTAAATTACAATACAATCAGTCAAACATAAGGACAAACACCAGGTAGTGCGAAGGCGGCGCCGCCAACGTTCGACTCGCCATAAGGGCCAATGACAGACGACCCACAGTGTCGTCCACCGCGGACCTGCCACAAGAGACAACCGATCTCGTCAACAGCTTTGCGCCGAAGAGCCTCGCCAATGTGCCATGTGCAGCCAGCCAGCGTTGCTGCCAGGCGTCACTGCTGGCACTACCGTGCTAACCATGATGATAATATTGGCGAGAAATGCTTGCAAGCACAGCGCCATCTACCACTCCATGATTGTGAACCCTAACTGCGGCATATTCGCGAAACACGTGTGCGCCACGAGACGCAAACGACTTTACAACGAGGTGTTAGCACCCCCACAAGATACATCGGCAACGCTGAGCAAGGGCATGCCGCTCTTCGCCGACAGAGTGGGAGGCGGCGTAAGATTGCCCGCACGCACGGAATGATGCATGTGGTAAAGCGCCTAATGCTGAGATAGCACTGCGGAAGCTGTCATTCTCTGCCCGCAAGAGTGGCAGTCTGAGAAAGCAGATGATGCACCTTTGCCTTTTTCGAATGGCAAGTCATTTCAGCAGTTTTGGGCTGAGGCCGAACTAGCATCTCAATCACAGCCTATTTGAGGAGCTTTAAGCAGCTGCTGTTGCTTGAGTGCAGTTAATGCAACATCCATGTCAGCTATACAAATCTTGTATCTAAAATAAACAGGCACTTTCTCTTGGTTCACTGATGTTCCTTAACTTTTCAGTTTCGCTACAGTGAAAAAATAACCACAATATTATTCTGCACGTAATTATCTTTATGGAGCATCAGTAGAACTGAAATCAAAATGTTGTTATTGTATTTATATTATTGTTTCTGTATTCTTGTATCTGGAGTCCAGAATGTCTTTTTGCAAAAGTATTTCTGAAATATCCTGTTAAAGGACAAGTGTATCTCAGTATCTGTATTTTGAGCCTCCAGTGCTTGTATTTCAATATCTGTATTCCGGAATACTTTTCCGACTATCTCTGCCCAGCCCCGATTTGTGAGGATGCTTTGTTTCACTCAAATATGAGATAACATATGCCATGTATTCCTGTAAAAATGAATTTACTATTTTGCTCATTATACGTATTGATTAATCACATTCATCTGTTTAAATTTGTAATACATTTGCTTCAATTGTCTGTAATAATGTCATTACCTTACTTTGGAAATAATGAGAAACATGTCACTTGTTTATTTTTCTCTTTTTGTTTCTGTCATGCAGCAACGTCCTTTCCAGTTTCAACGCTGCACATCTTCGGCTTTTTCAAACTGGTGCTGCACCTGTTTCCTCAGGCAGAAGTCAAGACTGCATGTGAAGCAGTGCTACAAGTCATGGGGGCTGGCCACCCCGTGAGTAATTTTTTTTTTTTTTTTTGCATTGTAGACTTGTTGCATGGGAAACTGTGAACTCGACATTCTACCAGCAGTGCTAAAGGTGTCACGAGCTCGTCTGTGAGGTCGTCATCAAACTACTTCAGTAGCGTGAATCAATTGCCTAAAAAATTTGCATGAAAAGTAGGGAGTTCTAGAGTTCTGTCATGGGCAGTAAGCTACATAGGGAGAGGAGGCATGGGACGAATATGCTACGATAGTGTTCAATGTGTGTTAAATTAAACTAAATTAAACTAAATCGCTCCTTTTGTTGCGATTCCTGCATGTGAGCATGGCTCGCTGGGTAATATTAGAGTTTGGTTGCTGCACATGGTGGCACCCTATTGTAAGAAATGCATCTGAGCCGAATGGCCAATGGCGTGCCTTTTGCTCTCTTATGTCAAGCAGCGGGTGCTGGCAGCTGTGAAGCAAGTGAGAATGGGCCTCTGTATGAAAATAGGGACCTGAAAAAATGGCAGCTTCGTGGGGCTCTGTTTGTAAGGTTTCCCTGCCATGCAGGGCTGCAAGATTTGGAAAACTGCAAACGAGGAAAAAAAATTGTGGTTGTACCCCATGAAAAGTGAATCATTTTTAATTTGACCTTCAAACTGAATAAATAGCTGTTAGCATCACTCAGCAGTAATTTGTGTCAATCGGTCTGCGTAAGACTGATTTGTATTTCATGCACTTGTAACAGCTTTTCTTTGCATCGTAGAAAGGGCATGCAGACGCACAAAAAGGGAGAGGGGAAAATGGTAATCATTCATTGTTTCTTTGTGATCACCTGTCATATGTTAGTGCAAGAGTTACTTCTAGCCGTATTGTTCTTTATGTTGCCTTCTAGTGCTTTTGGTTGTGGTATTTGAACACTTTTTTTTTTTTTTTCAGACTGTTGTGCAATGTGGCTTGGTCATGTTGCAGTCTTTCTTTGCTTCAAGGCCACGTCCTGCTGTAACATTAAGCCCACAGTTGAATGCCCAGTTGGTTAATGTGAGCGTCTAATACCAATTTCATTTTTGATTTTTGCACCTGCAAAATATTTCATTGCTATTTTATTTCAGGCACTGTACGACTACAAGCCTGGTGTGCAAGATCCTAAGCTGTTGGATGTGTGGCTTGTCACTGTACAAGAAGCATTGGCAAACCTACAAAGGTTAAATCAGTTCCTAATACAGTACTGCACGACTCGTATTGCACGCTATTACAGAGTAATGTTGTGTTTTTTTCTGCCTTCAGTTCATCTGATGAACTATTCCTAAGCAACCTTCCAAAGTTCGTGGGGGTTGCTATTGAAAGCTGGCTCAGTGGAAGGTCTGAGACCTATGGCACTGCCTCGACAGTGATTATGGTAAGCTTCCAGTTGATTGGTTTGGCTTAATCAAACATCCTAGTGTTCAAATTAAAGGGACCATTTACAGTGCTTTGAAATCTGATGTTTAATGTCATTATTAAACTAAAAGTTTGAACTGAAGTGTATGTGTGTACTATCTTGAGTAACAGATGTGACCTGTAGATCATGTTATATTGAGTTAAGTTTGAACTGAAGTGTATGTGTGTACTATCTTTAGTAACAGATGTGACCTGTAGATCATGTTATATTGAGTTATGGGTGCGACATGCATGTCAGGTTGACAATGTGAATACTATTTTGAGTAACAGATGTGACATGTAGGTCATGTTATATTGAGTTATGGGTGTGACATGCAGGTCAGGTTGACAAATGTAAATTATAGATAGCCGGCCTCCATTGGGTTATTCAAGGGCAGAGCTTTTTTATTATGTTTTGAAATCTTCTGGAGCCTCCAGAAAAAAAGCATTTGGTAATTTGGAAGTAATTGTTCTCATTTAGTCTACTATTGGTGAACTATAATTCTATTGGATCTATTTTAGCATGCTTTGGTATTTGGCAGCTAAGGTGTTGAACAGTAAGCTTGAATGTGGGTTTTATTTGTGGTCACTGTTTCCATACTTCAATGAGAATAGATATCTGTCTTGTAACAATTCTATAAGAAAGTCAAATCTTGTCATAAAATTTTATAGTACTAGTATAATCGCTATTTCAATATATATTGGCTCAGAGTTCAGCCAATGGAATGAGAATGTTGTATCGACAATTTGTAAGATGTTGCAATTGGATTTTTTTTGTTCTCATTCACAGCTAGTAGTTTAATACATCATAAAAGGAAGTCCATTGCAAGCTATTTAGAAACCAGTTAATCCTTTGAGGGCAGATTTTTTTTTTCAAGAGTGCATTTCAGAATTTCGCAATTTTTTATTGCTAAATTAAAATTTTCAGATTAATCTATTTAAGAAAAAAATTGTTTAAATTTTTGGCTAACCATAAAATGACCAAAATATTAGTTGTGCTGTTACATACGGATGGTTTACTTGTAACAGCAAGATAAAGACTAAAAAGTAACCTACACAACTGTTAAAAAATTGCATGTTAAAAAAAGTTGCCATAGTTAAAACAAAAATAAGGGCATAAAGTGGTATAAAATGAAAACATGGGGAGAAGACAGCCACTCTTGATCCAATCAGTATTGTTTCATTGTGTGCGTTTTGGAGGTGTCATTCACTAATCAGCATCTGAGCCTCAACTCGCAAGTTACTTGTCTATGACTGGCTGACATTTTTTAAAACAAATTCAGATTCCACAGTACTCACTTGCGGCAGAGAAACTGACGCGCACTTCTATAGAAAAAGCTAAGCCCCTTCATCCTAACAATTGTCCCTTTTTTAAGTAGCGCCAACCATTGTTCCATCACCATCGCCTAGTTCCAGTTATAAAGCTTCCGAAAGGAAGTTATTGCACCACTTCCTTCCGCTTTTTTTCATTCGATTTTGTTTCTGAACACGTGAGAAAGTAAATATTTTTTCTTTGTTTCAAGTGTTGACTCGAGTTTCATTCTAAGTTCGCGAGGAATGCCACCTTGATGCTGCGCACGGGGATGCCCGACGGGGTCTACGGCCGAGCGGTGGGAGAGCATGAATGAGGCGGGGTGGGCACGTTAAGTGGTGTAAGCTTTCCTTCCTCCACCCTCTTCGTGGTAGGGCTTGCCGTGAGGCGGGTCATGAACCGGAAAAGCAGCAGAAACACTATGGCGCCACCTCCACTTCCGCTGGTCAGAGGACAGGTGTAAAGGGAGAGGGGAAGGAGTTGGCGCTACTTAACCTAGCCGACGGAAAATGCATGAGGAGGCATTAGCATAAGCAAACTGCGCAAGTGAGTGGATTGGCGAAAACTATGTAGTTGCGAGTGCTTCCAGAAAGTGAAAACAAGTTCAAAACGTGTAATAATTTTTTTAAACCTGTAATCGCCGAGATTTAAGGGGTTTTTGCAAGTCCCCGAAATGGAAGGTACAACCATAGCGGCATTGTTTGTGCCAGTAATTTTCTGCACAGAAACAAGTGTAATTGTGTACCAGGGAGTAATAAACATATCGGTCACCTTTCTAAAGATTCTAAACTGAAAAGCCACCAGTTTTGCGGATGCAACAGGTGGGATTGAAACCAAAACTAGCCGGTGCACTGCATAATAATGATTAAACTCGCAATGTAGGGCGAAATTTGAAAAAAATATCACGTTTCTTTTTTTTTTTTCAGTTTGGATTTAATGCATATTTTCCATATTTGTGCATTTATTATATCTATGTCACACGGCACGTGTAAAGTCATTGTGGCGAAAGTCGTTCATCATGAATGTCATTGCTGTCGTGCCTTTCGAGTTTTACACAGCTATAAGAAATTACATTCGTAGTTGATGTCAATGTTAATCGGCGGTCTGCTATGATACCGAGAAGTTACAAATCACTCATTTAGTTCACATATTTTCTGTTTATTGTTATTTATACACCGGTAAACATTGTCCGGCTGATTCAAAATATTCTGAGATGCAGTACAATAGCATCAGTACAAAATAAATCTGTGTACACATCCCAAGCAAGGCTAGTTAAAGCCGCCCACGAGTCACAACTTGCAGTCCGCAATACTTTGGACCATGACATTATTCGTGAATTAATTATCGTGATGGGTGATGATCAGTTTAAATGAATGCTAGTAATTGCTCGCCAGTTGCTGTGAATGAAGGAAGCATCAGAACTGACTGAAGCGTCTCAGGATTTGGACATTACACAAAACGTGAAGGCAACGACAAAAATTGGTGGATAATGTGCATATAATTGCTATCCCAATAAAAACAAAATAGCTTTCACCTTTGAGTCTCCTTTGGTGAATGCGTAAGCTACTCGGTGATCACGCTGGACTGTTCTTGGTTTATTGAAGCCTGTTGTTGGATGTAGTCTGGCTTTGAATGTCGGCAAAAGCTATTCCTCACCAAGGGTATTTATCCTATGTGTTTTTCGGGTAGGTGTAATACACAGCAAAGCTTCAGTAATCTTTTCTGTATGTTGGTTATCAGTTGCAACCTGTAGATGTCACTTGAAACATTTTCTATTAAAGCACGTGGTCATTTTATATCTTTGTTAAAATGTCTAGTGCTGCGAAAAGAATGTAGCCACACTCCTTACATTACTTTGAATGGCACTTAATGCATTGTGCACCAAGTAACAAGGCACATCTGCAAATTTGAATTTTCAGACATTGCTTAAGCAGAGCTTTCAAGCCTGCCTGGACAAGGAGGTAAAGCAGAGTTCTACAAGTACGTTGTGCCACTCTACTGGTACCAAAGTTGTCGAGCAGATGCAGCGAGCGCTGCAGTACCAGTTTGTGTTTGCACAGGATCAGGTGCTTTTGACATGGGCTACTTGCTTTGAGGTATGTTTACTAACGTAGTGGCATATTTCATGTGGCCACCTACTTGAACTCTTGCTCTTTGCAGGTCCTCGGCAAGAAATGTGGAAAGGACATGCTTGAGGTTTGCTTTTTACATCTTGTGTTGCAGAATTATTGCTTAACCTGGTCATTCATGACAAATGTTTTCATCTGCATGTGTTACACCTCAGTGCAGACCTTACATTCTCCCCGCCCCTTTTTTTACTTGTTTTTTTTTTAACAGCCATTGCGCACTATGGCAGAGTGGCGTGAATCTCCGAAGCACTCAAACAAGGCTCTGGTAGACAGAACTATAGCAGCTGCCATCAAGGCCATGGATCCTGAGCTTGTTTTGCAAGCCATACCACTGAATATGAGTGGAGATAAGTGAGTGGCTGTATCCTGTTATGGTAGAAGCTTTGAGCTCAGGTTTTCCTGATCTGCTCTATATTTTATATTATTAATATATATATTTCTTTTTCATTAAAAAGGTGCCAGGACTTCCAAAGGAGTTGGATCCTCCCACTTCTGCGGGACAATCTACGGTCCACACGGATATCTTTATTCACTAATAACTTTCTCCCACTAGCTTGTGCTTTCCACGTGTTGGGTACGTTTTGCTTGTATCTTTTGGCACTACTATATGTGTGGTTAAAATAGGGTAGTTAAAATAGCGGAGGAGTTTTACAGAGATCTGTACACTAGCTGGGACAGCCACGACCTTAATACTATAAGAACTAGCAGTGACCCAGATGACACCCCACCAGTAATGATAGAAGAAGCCATAAAAGCTTTGGAGAGCATGCAAAGAGACAAAGCTGCTGGTGAGGGTCAGGTATCATCATATCTGCTGAAACATAGAGGACAGATTGTGTTAGAAAAACTAGCCACCCTGTTTACAAGGTGTCTCCTCATGGGAACAGTACCAGAGCCTCGAAAGAACGCTAACATCATCTTAATACCTAAAAAAGGACATGACGAGGACGTGAAGAATTAGTGGCCGATCAGCGGGCTCTCTGTAGTATACAAGCTATTTACAAAGGTAATTGCTAACAGAGTAAAGAAAACGTTAGAATTCAATCAATCAAATGAACAAGCAGGATTTCGAACAGGCTACTCAACAATCGGCCACTTTCATAATATCAATCAGGTAATAGAGAAATGCCCAGAATATAGCCAACTACTGTACATAGCCTTCATAGATTACGAGAAGGCGTTTGAGTCAGTAGAAATATCAGCAGTCATGCAGACTTTGTGGAATCAGGGCGTTGATGAAGTATATATGAACATCCTGGAAGAAATCTACAGGGGATGATCTGCTACCGTAGTGCTTCATAAAGAAAGCAACAGAATACCAATCAAGAAGGGTGTAAGGCAGGGGCACACAATCTCCCCAATGCTATTTACCGCATGCTTACAGGAGGTTTTCAGAAGCCTAGAATGGGAACAGTTAGGGATAAGAGTTAATGGAGAGTACCTTAGTAACCTGCGCTTTGCCGAGGACATTGCATTGCTGAGTAACTCAGGGGACAAATTGCAACTCATGATTACGGGGTTAGACAAGGAGAGCAGAAAGGTGGGTCTTAAAATGAATCTGCAGAATACTAAAGTAATGTACAACAACCTCAGAAAAAAGCAGCGCTTCGAGATAGGTAATAGTGCACTTCAAGTTGTAAAAGACTATGTCTACTTAGGGCAGGTAATAACCGAGGAGCCAAACCACGAGATTGAAGTAACTGGAAGAATAAGAATGGGGTGGAGCTCATTTGGCAAGCATTCTCAAATTATGGCTGGTAGATTGCCACTATCCCTTAAGAGGAAGGTATATGACAGCTGTATCTTGCCGGTACTTAGCTACGGAGCAGAAGCCTGGAGACTTACAAAGAGGGTTCAGCTTTAATTGAGGACGACGCAGCGAGCAATGTAAAGAAAAATGGTAGGTGTAACCTTAAGAGACAAGAAGAGAGCACAGTGGATTAGGGAAAAAACAGGGGTTGAGGATATCATAGTTGAAATCGAGAAGAGGAAATGGAAATAAGCCGGGCATTTAGCGCGTGGACAGGATAACCGCTGGTCATTAAGGGTAACTAACTGGATTCCCAGAGAAGGCAAGCGGGTTAAGGGGAGACAGAAGATTAGATTGGCAGATGAGATTAAGAAGTTTGCCGGTATAAATTGGCAGCAGCAAGCACAGGACTGGATTAACTGGCGGAACATGGGAGTGGCCTTTGTCCTGCAGTGGACGTAGGCAGGCTGATGATGATGATGATAGGTGTAGTGTCATTTCCACGTGTTGAATTGGGCAAGCAGGCCGATTTGGCAATGAATTTTGACCTCTTTTTGATGACAAATGCCTGAAATAGTATGCTTCACTCTATGGATGTCAATTCTTTTTAATATTAGCTGCATTACAGTAAAACCTCATCATACAGTACTCAGTAAACAAAAATTTAAAGAGAACTTTATTGCACAGTGCTGTTGTACAGATATTTTCCTGGCACCTGTAGGTCAATTTAAGAAGTCTACTAAAATTTTAGGCAATGTAGCATAACTGCACTAACACTCCCAGCAGCAAGTAAGTGCTACGTAGTTTTTACAGAAAAAGATAAACACAATGGACAGTTCTGGCCATTGTGCTTAGGAAGCAAATTCCCTTCTTTGCTTGAGGCAATACAGATATGGTGGCAGAGGGTACTAAATGTCTAACTTCTCTCAGTATGTGTGTGCATGTTTGTAGAGCGATCTGTTGGTGCGTGAAAATTTAAATGGGGTGCAGATTGACTTGAGTAATAAGTGCACTGCTTGTTGCATGCTGTATTTGCGAGTAGCCGTGCTGGAGCACTTGTATGCATACATTGACTACAGGACTGTCCTTGCAGCCAGGTTTCATGCCCAAGCTGCTTGTTTATTACCGTGAATTGCACGTATAAAATTCATTTCTTGATAAATTTTGATGAATATATATTTGTGTGGTAATTTTGATAGCAGCTATTTTACTAGGATAATGAATTATTTTTAAAATAAAAAAATCTTTCATGTGCTTTTTGGGTAGCAAGATTTTTTTAAAACTGAGTGTGTAAGTAAATTGTCATGTCACACATACAGTGCAATAAAAAAATTGGATGTTCTAAGCCCACTATAACGAAAGTTATTGATTGTTAAACATTCACAAGAGAAATTCCACTTTGAAATTGACCCACTCACGAATGTTCAAGATCCCATAATTTTTGGTCATATAGGTTTATAACATCCATTTTTGTGGCACTGCGCACATTTCTGATCGCAGATTATTGGGATACGCTGATTTACTTTGCAACACACTCAGATAAGAAAAAAATCTTGCTCCCTAAAAGGCACATGAAATATTTTTTATTTTAGAAACTACACATGATACTAGAAAAGTAATTGCAAATTTCAAGTTGGCTCACAAATGTGCTATTAGCATCAGATGGAACCTGAACAACTGCGAGCCTTTGAGATGGTATACATAGTGCACACTGCCTAGTTATCACTATTTACAGGTGTGCGCATCTTGTTCGGCAGCTTTGCGCATATATGCGAGCCTGCCAATGGAGATAAGTGGACTGCGCTGACTATATCATCGCAAAGGCTTGCCAGCACTGTTCGCGTTTCATTTGATGCTGATAGTACACGAAACCACACTACGTATGATACTGGAAAAGTACTTGTGAATTTGAAATTAGCACACAAATGTACATGAAGCAACCATGTTTCATACAAATTTGATTAAAAAAATGATGCTAAATTTTGCAGAGCAGTGTCCTCCTTAAAAGCGTGCAGCACACTAAATATGGCAATGTGCAACATGTATTACAGAGTAGATACATGTTTAGCACAGTAAGGTTGTCAGCAAAAAAGGCTCAGGCACCAATATGTGTCTGCCATTGTTCAACTTTTGCAGAAAGTTCAATAATTCTATGAGCAATGTATCTAGCTCTTTCTCAGCAACTAATTCAAAGAACTGCATATACAGGTTGTGTGAAGACAGTTATAACAGGACTCTGACCAAGATAAAAGCATCTAAAATGGTCAGCGTCTTGTCTTCATGTCTGTTTCTGACCAGACAAGTTTTCGTCCAACTATTTGATTTTGATTTCATAAACAGGTTGTGTCCATATACATGGATGTTGAACCTCAAGAGCATAGCACTATGTGTGTATATTCGATGAAATGTGTCGTGTCACATAGCAATCACTTTCCTTAATCGCAGTTTGGCTAAACTGTTTCATACATACAGGGGAAGCTTCGGACAAGCCTGAATCTCTTACCAAGGCTTACCAGATATTGGAAAAACAAATTTGGTCACTTTTGCCCGGCATCTGTACTAGTCCAGCAGACTGTATCGAGGTATGACATCTAAAGTCCTTGTCCTTTTTTGATGCAAGTTTTAAAAAACAAAAAAAAAAGCTGGCTGGGTTTGCATACATCATGTGTTCATTGTTGTGGTTAGTAAAAAAAAGTGCAAGAGGTGGTTAGGCTGAATTGTGGAATAATTTGTGTGAGCAGATCTGCTTGCATCAGCCATGGGAGCAGTGCAGACAGAGTTGCAGTGCGAGGCTGAAAGTCGTGTGCCTGGTAATAGAGTTCAACCGAGACCTGCAGCAGTCATCTTTGGTCTAGTCTTGGTTGTTTCAAGAAAGGGGATTTCTTATTTTGGGGTTGTTTGTATATAACGTCTGATAAAAACGGGGCCATTTTAAGAGTGGCTGCACATGCTGCAAGTTATTATGAGCTCTAAGCACTTCTTTTGAAGTGTAGCTGTCAGTGTTGACAAAGTAGACGGCGACGAATTTGCTTTAGTTATGCGTACCATGAAAAAACATGTTTAAGGGGGGACGCGGGGTCAGATCGCGAAAATCACGAAAAAAATCAATTTTTGAAAATCACTCATTTAGGCATCTGCAGTGCCTCTTCTATGTCGTACCAAACCGATTTGGCTGAAAACCAACTCTAAATGCCCGAAAAAAATAAGTTTGTCAGTGCGATCGGCGAGAAAGAGGCTCAAGATCGCACAAAAACACCGATGCTCACAAAGCAAGTGTTCATCTCTCGCAACACCAATCGCCGCCATCATGGTATCCTTCGAAACGTCGCCCTGTGTGTGATAGCCCTAGTGTGCTTGCCTGCAAGCATACACTTGGTCGGTCTTACGGAGTTCCCTGCCGGCCCGCATGGCCGTGATTGTCGCACTGTGCTGTATTGGGTAAATAAACCAGTGTTTGTTGACGACCTGCCTCGAGTGCCATCTCTGCGCCGTGTCGGAGAGTCGACGAACCAGGCCGTTGCGTCTTCGTGCATCACGGCGGGTGAGATTGTCGCGTCCCTTCCCGGCCGCTTTGTAAGGTAGCCTCTAGCAAAGCCATTTCCACAAGTTCCACAAGTAGCTTGCGCCACGCTGCTGGTATCAAAGTTATCGGGCACATGTAGCGATTTTGTTCCCCGTAATTGCTTTGCACACCCAAAGCTGGGTCATTGTTTTAAAAACGCACTATCATAAGACAAGTAAATAGGGGAAAATTAAGACTCCCTGCCAATGGGGTCACAGCAGCTTTGTGTCACGCTTTGACGCGCTGCTTCGTGGTGCTCTCGTGAGCACCATGTGAAGGCCGTTGGGTCGTGATGACATGGCAATGCCATTGACTGGAGGGGGGTTCATTGATGGCGAAAAGCGGCTTTTTCTTTACGTGTACCCATTATAGTAGGTGTTATCATTATCAGTGGCGACAGTGTGCTCAGTATTATTTCAAGCAGTGCAAACTACAGTACAAGAAGCAGACACAACGCTGTCCTGTAGTTTGCGCTGCTTTAAATATGGAACAATGCCAACTTGCCTAGTTATCGATGTGCTACACATTGTTCTGTCTTCTCATAGCGTACTGTGGCATGGTCTTAGTGACTCGGCTTTCTTCCTTGCAATCTGTTTTAATAAGCATTGACTTACACATGAAGGGCTGAGTGCTGCATACTACTACTGGCAAATTATTCTGGCTTTCTTAGTTCTACCAATGCCTTGCCTTTGTAAATGCCATGCACAGTATTGTGCAGTTTCGATTTACAACTGATGAAAACACTTTGGTCATACGAATCTGCCAGCTGCCAGCTTTCTTTTTCACAGGTTGTTCCATAGGAGTGTTAATAGTGTCACTGTTACATAATCTGGCATGCCCTCTGTCTTCAAGCATAACTGATTAGGTAACATACTATAAGCTTATTAAGGGATGTGCTCCACAATTTTTTTTTCTCTTGCAGTCCTTTCCCAAGATTGCCAAAACACTTGGCAACAACTTGAGTAATCGATCGGATCTGAGGCTTGACATCATGTCTGCTCTGCGGCGCCTCATCAGCAGCAACATCTTGAATGGTATGTAATTTGTGGGCCACGTCTTCACGTAAAATTATGACCAAAACTCTTTTCATCCTCTCTGCTTTCTCCAGATGACGGTGATCCAGAGATGTCTAGGTATGCAAAGAACTTTCTGCCGATCTTGTTCAACATCTACACAAGTGAGTCATCATCACAATGTGAGGAAGGAATCCGCCTAGCCGCTTTTGACACCATCAAGGCATTTGTTGAAATTGCAGATGGAAAGGTAATACGGGTCTTTCGAGTCGAAAGGATGCTAAAGTATCGTCTTTTGTTGCAGCTTTGTGATACGCTTTTCTGCACTGCATATGAAAAAGCGACAGATGATACTTCTCACAGCAAGTAAGTGTGCATCTTTTGGATAGAGAGAAAAGCTTCGGGGGGGAAAAAAGTGATAGTACTTTGTAGGTCATATGTATATACTTGTGCCACATACTATGACTTCATAATTACAGACATGCCATATTAGACCTGGCAAGATCCTTAGTCTGCAAAATTGGTCATGAGAATGTTGAACGTCTGTACAAGCTAGGCAAGGACAACATAGAGGTGAGAATCCGTTCAATGCCTTCTAGATCATTTTTCGATCTGCTATTTGCATCACAGCAAATAAGAAGTGGTAATGGATACGCTAGTTCCTTTAGTTGATTTTATAATGTAATTTTTTTGTACTTTATTCACCTTGTCACTGCCGCCTGCTTATTTTTGCATTTTTTGAATACTTGATATTTTGCATTGCAGAACTCTGACCATCGAGTACAAAAAAAGGCATACCGTGTCATTGAAGAAATTTGCCATTGCCCAACTACTGTTTGTAAGGAATTTATTGAAAGTCATGTCGGAGAACTTACTGAATGTCTCCAGGATAGCCTGCAGGGCATATGCATGGGATCAAGAGCGGTATGTGCATCTATTTGTCATCACTGGATGTTATGAAAGGAAAATATGGTGTTACTCTGATATATATGAGCCTTCATTTGCAGTAATACCAGGAAGTTTACGGTTATCTTCAGGCTCAACTTGGCTGTACCGAACCGTAGAAACTGTATTGCTGTGCAGTCAGTCTTCGTGAAGCATGGTTTTCTTGTACAATGTACTGGAAGCAAAAATACCGGCCGCGGTGGGTGCGTTTCGATGGAGCCACCGCAATGCTCAAGAACACGAAAATATAATTAATTCCATGAGCGACAGAACGCGTGCAGCCTGTTCCCGGTTTACGCCCATTAGCTACTAACTTATTTAGAAAAATGAGTTCTCATAGCATTTGGCATTTAAAAAAGCAATTGCACGTGAAATCTGCACATCGGTGTCTTGGTTATTTGCTAAGCCGTGGTGACAGAAAGCGTGTTCAAACTATTTTAAAAGGTATTAGACAGATTTAGTTGCACGTCTGCAGCAGCCGTACGGACGCAGCCCTTCCATTGCGAATCGTTGGCGGGCTGCGTCCATACGGCTGCTGAGGACGCGCTACTAAATCTGTCTATTAACAGACTTAGAAACAAAGAACGCTGCCAGCTCTGCATTTCCTTAGAGTGTGGTGCCAGTAGCTGCCTCAATTTTCTTTTAAACAGCGGAACGTGGAGTGACCCTCTGAGTCTCCTGCCAAAGGTGCAGCTGCTGTTTTTCATTTTTTTATTCATTCCACATCACGACTTATACAGGAAGGGGTCACGTTTCCGTGTGCTTCTGAAGGGCAGTTTTTTAATTGAAAGTGTAGGAGCGATGCATTGTAGCAAACACGCTTAAGCTCCTTTAGAGATCTGTGTACTGCCAGCGGGTAATGGTGTATATAAATCGCTAATTATTACACTAGCACATGCATTGTGCATGGTTGAGTTGTCTAGCCCAGCGCACTTTGGAGCGAGCGGTGACTGGTTCAAATCCGGTTGGGTGCATAGGTATTGTTTTCTTCTTATAAATTTTTTTGTGCAATAATAATTTTGTGTAGTGACGTTAGAGATTTGGCGCTTCTCTTGTTCGCCGTGGTGGTTCAGTGGCTGCGGTGCTTGGCGGCTGACCTGAAAGTGGCGGCAGGTTCGATACCGGCCGCAGTGGGTGCATTTCAATGGAGGTGAAATGGTAGAAGCCCGTCAATGTATCTTATTAAAGGACACCAGATATCATATACAACACTACAGCCACCGCATTCCTCAAGAACAGCACAAAATTATGATTAATACACATAAGACTACTTTAAACATAAAAAAATATTCAGGGAGAAAAACATCTGTCAGAATTACAGTATACTCTCGTTAAGATGAACTCTGTCAAGACGAATTCTCACTTAAGACGAATAACATGGGAGTGTTTGTTTTGTTTCTCGTAGACTCAATGCAAAAAAACTGTTACTCGCTGTTATTCATGGCACATTCACAATAAACATTTAGTCGAATTTCAACAGTTTATTTATTTGTCTATGTATTTTTTTATTTATTTTTTTATTTATTTGAATACTTTCCCTGCCCGAAGGCTTTACAGAAAGGAGTGGGGGTTATACAACAAAAAAGTAAGCGAAATGTTACAATTGCTGCAAAATGGAGAGCTTGAAGTTTGCAGGGTCGATGAGGGATGCGGTGGCAGCGGAAAGGCAGTTCCAGTCTTTGCTTGTTCTGGGAATGAAGGAATCACTGTAGTGGTTTGTTCGGCAATATGGCACACCTACTTTAAAGCAATGATCGAAACGAGGTGAAATGTAAGAGGGGGAAGAGAGAAGGCTCTCTTTCAAAGATGGATTGTAATGATAAATTTTATGAAAAAGAGAAAGGCGAGAGCATTTTCGACAGAACGATAAGTCGGTTAGGTTCAGAGTTTTTTTTCATGGCTGTGACGCTAGCATGACGGGAATAATTGCACAAAATGAAACCGGCTGCGCGGTTTTGAACGGCTTCTAGAGTGAGAGTTAGGGTTACTTGACCGGGATCCCAGATGGCGCATACGTATTCCAGTTTAGAGCGTACTAACGTTTTGTAAAGGTTTAGTTTCACTGATATGGGTACGGAAGAAAAGTTTCGTCGCAAATATCCGAGCATGCGGTTAGCATTATTAGTGACGTATTCGACGTGTTTCTGTCAGGATAGATTGTTAGTAATGTTAAGCCCAAGATATTTATATGAGTGCACTGAGGATAAGGGAGCATCATTAAGAAGATACATGCAAGTGTTAGAAGCTGAATTTTTTCGAGATACATGCATGCTTTTACATTTTGTTGAATTAAGTTTCATCCGCCAGTCACGACACCAAAGAGACACGTTATCTAGGTCATTCTGAAGTCTGATAGAATCAGTTGGGTTAGTGATTTTGGAATACAGCACACAATCATCAGCAAATAATTTAATGGTTGAAAACTTAACACAGTTAGGAAGGTCGTTTATATAAATAAAAAATAACAATGGACCTAACACAGAGCCCTGCGGCACCCCTGATGTTACGGCAGAGGTATTGGAAGAACAGTTGTTAGCAGTGACATATTGCGACCTGTTAGAGAGAAAGGACATAATCCAGCCAAGCACATTAGGGTCAAGGTTTAATTGATTTATTTTAACGAGGAGAAGTTGATGAGAAACGGTATCGAACGCCTTATGAAAATCAAGAAAAATGCAATGAGTGTCGTAACCTTCGTCAGAATTGGCAAAGAGATCGTTAGTGAAGGATACTAGTTGGGTTTCGCATGAAAATGTTCTCCTGAAGCCGTGTTGGGAAGGATGAAAAAAGGAATTTGTTTCAAGGAAGTCCATTAAATGAAAGAAAATAATATGTTCGAGTAGCTTACAGGAAATGCTTGTGAGAGATATTGGTCGATAGTTTTCTGGAAGATGCGGGTTACCTGACTTATAAGCGAGAACCACCTTTCCGGAATTCCAATCAGCAGGTAGCGATGAACACTGTAATGTCTAATAAAAAAGCTTTGCAATGACAATGGATGAATACACTTCTGTTAATTTCAACATTTTAGAGCAAATTTCATCGGGGCCTGCAGAAGAAGACATTTTTAAACCCTGAATTAGCCTAGTTAAGCCCACCCAGCCAACAAAAATAGGTTCCATGGGCGGAAAATCGGCATGGGGTACATGGGGATATAATGAAGGGGCTGTTGTTAGAAACACTGAAGAAAAAGCATTATTTAGAACCGTGCAGCATTGGTCACGTGGTACAACCAGGTCAGAACATGTTAATTGAATATTAGATCGAGATTCACCTCTCATTATGCTCCAAAATTTGCGGGGATTAGTCTGAAGAAGAGCAGGCAGTGTGGAATTAAAAAATGTTGTTTTTGCGTTGCTAACAGCGTCGTTATATTCCTTGTTTATGCCATTGTACTCAGGCCAACGGCTGGGGAGGTTAGAACGTTTAGCGCTTCGGAACAGACGCTTTTTGTTGCGGAGTCGGCGTAAAGTGGAATTAGACCAAGGAGAGCGAGGTTTAGTGCAAATCCTTCTGGTGGGTACATGTTCGTTGAGCAAAGATAATAATTTGTTTTTGAAAAGCAACCAGTTATCATTGACAGATCGTTCTTCATAGTTAGTTATGAATTCATCGGTAAAACGTTCCATTTCTGCTGTAATTAGTGCCGTGTTGGCACGCGAATAATCCCTAATAATTTTGAAAACCTTAGATCTCGAGGGGCGGTGAGCTTGCGCGGTGAAATGTAGTAACATGTGATCACTTAGTCCATCGAGATAAGTTATCGAAGAAACGAGATCAGGTGAAGTTGTAAGTACGAGGTCTAGAGTGTTAGAACAGGTTGATGTTGACCGTGTGGGCTCAAGAACAAGCTGAGTGAGGTTAAAGTCTGTACACAAATTCAAAAATTCTATATTTTCTGGTAAGTTTTGTTTTACGCTAATGGAGTCTGCACGCCATACAATACCGGGAAAATTGAAATCTCGCATAAGGATCAATGGGGAATTGGGATAGCGTACAATCAGCAGATTCAGAACATCATGAAGTTCAGAACAAAAGGAGGGGGAAGGAGCTGGGGATCAATAACATACACACAAAATATAGTCACGACAGGAAAAAATGATTCGCACACATACTATTTCTAAGGATGACCTGATCGGAACCACAGAGGAATTAAACGCTTCATTGACAGCAACGAGCACGCCCCCACCGATACGGACGTCACGGTCATGACGATATGTCCTGTACGCCTTATCGCATTCAAATATTTCACTACTTTTTATTTTTGCTGAGAGCCACGTTTCTGTTAATACGATAATATCGGCTGAGCAAGAATCGATGGCTGAAGAGAGGGTGGCACGCTTATTCATGACGCTTCGAATGTTGGTGAAAAGAAACGATACATTGCTTAGATTGGATTCGGGAAGAGATTGCTAGGATGATTCCGGAGAGGGACTGCTCGCGGAAGCACCGCCACTATCAGGAGGCTGTGTACCTCGAGGAACGCCTGTCTGACGGGAGCTATCAAGCACGTGAACGCTGTTGGTTATTGCGCAGTATCCATATTGCTTCTTATTCATCACAAGTTTGTTGTATCGCAGCGAGAAAGATTGCCCGTTTGCTTTTCCGAATTCGATAAGCTTTTTCCTGCAATACCGAGTAGCTTGGCAGAAGTCTTCACTCAAAGAAAAATCTGTATTTCTCCTATATCCATCATCATATCCCCATATCCATCATAAGTTCTCCCATATCCATCAATCACATCTGTTGTGATGAATTTTTTGCTGCACTTGGTGCCACTGCATTATTATTACATTCTGCCTTTGCAACTAACTACACATCAAGTTCATGCCTCCCCGTATTTTTGCTGTGCAAGCATACCAAGCAACTAATGTTGACATCCATATTGTGCATCTTCCACCATACAGGTTAGAGGGATGTGGTTTCTGAACCTGCTTCCTGCTGTGGAATTTATATTCTTATCTTTCTCCCTTTTATCTGAAATGTCAAGCTAGTTTGTTGGGGAGCTAATTATTTACTATATTCTGCACTCAAACCTCATTATAGTAACTAAGTTGCATCTTACATGAAAATAAGTTCGTTATATCCAAAAATACTTTATAAAGATTTTTAACATTATATCTATTGTAAAACTATTTTTAATTTATTTTATTATAACCAATATTTCATTATATTTGGGTTCATTATTTGAGGTTTGAGTGTATTTACAACCAAACTTCTACTTGCACTCTTTGGAGCAGCACTTAAGTAGAAAAGCTTTTATTATGTAGTGAATTCGGCCTATTATTTCAAGCAGTTGAAAATGCTCTGAGCACTTTAAGACACTAAACAGAAAGCTGTTTAGTGTACATATGGAAAAGCGATTAGCCCCTCCACATGTATTCATCCGCGCCATGTCGTCTGCTCACCGTCTTCACGGTGTCTGCTCGCCGAATTGTTTATGCACACTCATTGCAGATAAGGCTAGTTATTAACCTAAATTTGTTCATTTGTTCATCGCAGCTTAGCTAGTTTGCTGAATTGCTTGTTTTTTACGCAGCCCCGCCTTCGTTGTTTGGTCCTTGTGCTTGCTAAGCTGAGTGTGGAGCACAAGTCTTTTGCGTGGAAAGCTCTTAATGAGGTAAGTCTTCTGTATAATTTTGAGTTTCTTCATGGAGAGAGATGCATTCTGTTCTCCTGAAGTGAATTTCTTGCTTTTCAGTGTGTCATATTAATACACACAAGACTACTTTTAACAAAAAAAAAATTTGGTGAGAAAAACATTCTTTAAGAATTACGGTAGACTCCCGTTAAGACAAACTCTATTAAGACGAATTCTCGCTAAAGATGAAAAACATGGGAGTGTTTGTTTGGTTTTTCGTAGACTCAATGCAAAAAAAAATCTGCTCAAGAAGAACCATATAACAGGCCTCTTCTGTTAAGACGAACTCTTGACCAATAACAATGGGAACTCTGCGCAATGAACACTATAGTCTCGCTTTCTCTCTCCACGTCACTGTTTGCTTTCGATAAATAGTGACGTGCAGGCAGCAAGCGAGGTAAATCGAAAAGAAAGGTCAGTGCATAAAGCTGGTATCTCTCACATCCCTAGCCTGTTGGTGGAAAAAGGGCTGGCTTTATCACCAAAGAAAGCAACAAAAAGTGTTCGTCTTTTCGTATTCTCGTGTCCTTCAGTTCACCAACTGAGAAAGTGTAGAATAAGAGAACACAAGAGCTTGGCTAGAGGGGAAAATGCAAGGGAAGGGGGCAAAAAAAGCCATATAAAAGTTAAAACGAGAACAAAGATTGTGAAATATAATCACATGAAACCGAAACAACATATGTTTAACTAGCACTCGCATCAGAAGAGTTGGATGCATTGTTATTGCCATCACACAATAGCACCTGAGTGCATGTTGTGGTCAGTTTGCATTGTTTTGCATAGTGCAGCAAATTGTGACATGTCATTTTTATTATGAAAATGCACTACAAAAGAAGGTCATTTTTCATACTAAATATAGCTGCATCGTGTCTTTTTTTTTGTGTGTCGAGGCTTGTGATTGTGAGTAGCTTAAATGTAGATTTTAAGGTACATGTTGGTCAAGAAAAGTTACTGTGGTCTGGAAATAAGAAATTATTTGAACCTCAAAGAAAAGCTTGCAGACTTTCATAAGCTCCCTGTCCTTCTTCTTTCAATCCTCCTTTTTCATAAGCAACTTGGCAAGGTAACGGTATGCAATGGAGGCATATCCAAAAGTGATAGCAAAGTCAGTAAAACAGCCTATCGGAAGGTGAACAACCAGAAGAATAAATTTTCCATTTTTTGAAAAAAGTTGTGCTTGGCTCTCCTTTTTTTATCTTTTTCAAATTGTCAGAATATGGTCGTGCCTCAGTCTTATTGTTAAATTGTGGTAGCAATTTATTCATGAGCATATCAGTGTTTTCAAGCAACATATTTGGACGTACTTGGCATGTTAGCGTTTGGTTTTTGGGGACACTTCTGATAGGACGAGCTCCTGATAAGACAAACAAATTATCGTGATCCCTTCGAGTTCGCCTGAAAGGGAGTCTTCTGTAATATGGCATACATACCATGTAGCACTGGCTATAAATTTTACCAATAATTTTTTATTGAAATGTAGCAGCCTGACACTCATCATACAAGACCTCCAGAATAAAACTATGTTAGCGATTTATTTGCCAGCTGTTGTTTTCATTGTGAAATACATTTGGGTGGCTCTGCAAAAAAAGCATTATTTTCGGTATTGGGCATATATGCAGCATTATGGGTTGTACAGTGGAGGAAAGCTGAGATTGTTTTGAAGTCAAAAGATATGAATTGGGTCTGCTTTGTTCCTATGTATAATAAGAGCAGTTAGCGATAGCACTTTTTTAAAAAGCACTGTTTAGCTTTGGCTGGCAATACTTCTAATGACTAGCAGAAGCAAAAATTCATAAAGCAAAGATCTTAACTTGGCCTGATTGTTGAAGCTATCTCACTAGCTTACAGGGGCACTAAAGGGAAAGGTGTAATCGATGTGCATTGTTGAAAAAGCACTACCGAAACCTCGCAGTGTGTTTTGTGCCAAGAAAGTGCTTACTTTGATAGACAATTTTTCTTTTAATTATTCGCATATTGTTGGTGCACTTCAAACCACCTGCAAGCCCACCATTTACTGCCCAACAGCCTATGCTGCAGCAAAGCACACGCAGCAGTACAGCCGAGTTAAAGTGAAAATAGAACTTGCATTGTTCTGTAGGATAACTTGAAGAAGTTAATGTTTCTATACAATTTCTATACAAAAATTGGCATGGTACGCAAACAAAAGTTGGTGGCTTTATAGTAAGTAGCTGGCTGTGTGTCAAGATCCAAGCGCAGGTAACAAATTAATTTTTTATATGATTCATTGTAAAATTCCGTAGAGCTAACGGCAACTGCATGGAGAATGAAAGCTGAGGTAATTAATCTATAAAATATTTAATCGGAGAAATGCAGCAGTGTTTAGCTGTTGCTGGTTATACTCCTATGTCTATCTGAAGCAAAAATTTACAAAGCCAAGCTCCTAATGTGGCTTGACTGTTAAGCTGCTTAGTTAGTCAAGGATGATGTAATCAAATTAAGAAATTTGTTTTAGCCTGTAGGGGCACTAAAGGGCACCGTAAAGTGATGGGTTCTGTGTCCGGGGAAAGCCACAAGGTTCGCATGTTCTGAAGTCCAATTTATTTTTGTTCTCTATTTCACTGCAGTGTAGAACAAGATCTGAAGTTCAATATAAAAAAGTTGTGAGGAAGTGCACTATTCCCATTGCTACTTTCTTCTCTGAAAGAGGAGTTTTGGCAGAGTCTATGTATTTTATTGCTAGAGTGTATATGAATTATTATGTTTCGGACCATTTAGGAATTGGATTTAAGAAGATTAAGTAGAGCGATGTGGCTTTCATGTAATTTGAAGTTTGTTTATAGCTTATGTGGTGGAGCAGTTAGCACTCTCATGTGTCCCAACATTCAGCAGAAATTAAACAAAATAATTGTACCTTCTAAAGGGCCTGTTCGGTACATAAGTGGGAAAAGGCTTTGAGGAGGTGAATAACAAATTTATCTTGAGGGAACTGGGAACATCCCGTGAATTCTTGGTCATACAGTCAATGACCGATAATTCAGACTCCACGGGAAAGGTACATAAGTCCGAATTATCGAATGTCTGAAAAAAACGAATGCACCAGAAAAAAAAGAATGCTTTTATTGACGCTTCAGGTGGCAGGAAAGAGCTGTCAATGCGTTGCTGCAGGCTCTTGCACTTACGTGCAACGAAGTCGGTCTGTGTTTCTGCCAGCGTGGTATGCTTGCTGGGGGGCCACAGGTAGGACGACAAAAGAATTGCGAGGGCTTGAGACAGGTCTGCATGAGACTGCTCCGGAGCACATCGTGCATGATCATCAGAGTCAGAATCACTTTTTGGCAGTTGCAAAACTTGATCCATTATGTCATCGTCGTTCAATTCGGCATACGACGACACAGCACTGTCGATGTTTGCAAAGTCTTCAAACGTAACTGCATCAGGAATCGGCACACCGAAGCCTTGCAGGCCGTCAATAAAGTCTGCACTTGAGGTCGTTGCGCTGGGCGGCAGGTCGGGCTCTTCAGTTGCAGTGTCGGATCCTTGAACACTTGGGCAACTTCGACTTGCGGGCGACCACTGAGCACTTGTTGAATGATGGCAGCTTTCCTTGCCATGGTCGGCGTTGTGCATGTCTGCTGCGTTTCATCGTCATAGGTGCTGGCTGTGAAGGAACCACTGGTGCCATTTCATGCAAGCCTTTTGGGACAGCAGAGTGCAAAATAAAGCAGGTCTCAACACAAAACTGAATGTGTGCAGAAGCAGATTGCAGTACCACAGATACATACGACAGAATGGGGGCGATAGCAATACAGTGCTATAACAGCGTGAGTATAGTGGCTAGAAAGGTTTTCCTAGTGTTGTGAACGAGGCGGCAAAGCTGAGTTTCTAATACAGCCTCCAGAGGGCAGAACCGCTCACTGGCGTGCGGCATTTATGCGTCCGAGTACGCGCGCTCAGGCATTTCTCGTTTTAAACAAGCTTTGTGGTAACGGTACAAAGTCGCAGGGCTCGTCACACAGGGCGCCGATAAATTGTACATAAAAGGAAAAAAAAGTTATCTTCAGAGTATGCTGCCAGGTTATCTTCATCTGAACAGCACATACAAGCGGGATATGTAGCACGCATGGAACAAAGATGTGGGAGATTCGGGGCTTCAGTCCTAGTTTATTAACATTCTTTTTCACACAGTTGCGTTTGAGTATAAAAACATCAATATCCATATATATTTATAGCTGTTGCATAAAAAACAAAATACAGCAACTAGATAGAAAGATGCAAGGACAAGTGTTTTGATGCAGAATTTGAGTAAACAGTGAAAAAAAAAAAGACAGGTATAGCTTAATCAAGTTGTAGAGAGGAAGAAGAATATGTGCCGCAGTGGGTCACGCCTTTAGGAAGAGGAGCCGAGCGCGAGCTGTTGCCCCGAGCGTTGTGTATCCTGTGTCGGTTCCTGCCGCCCGGTTCCCGCATCAATAGACCTGCTGTGCAAGCACTACTTGTGCCAATAAAGCCCGTTCCAGAGTGGTGGAGGTGCTGGGTAACTCAACCTGGAACTCCGCAACCGGAAACTACCTGCCATCCCAGACATGGCTGAAGAAACCATCCAGCAAGGTACGACCCAGCCTCCGATGGTCATCGTTCCCACTGCGCTACGCGTACGCGATCCACCTTTTTTCGACGGTACTGATGAGCAAGACGTCGAAGATTGGCTGTCGACATTTGAAAAGGTAGGCGCAAGCAACAAGTGGGACGACCCTTCGAAGCTGCAATATGTACCCTTCTACCTGAAAGAGGTGGCTAGTCTCTGGTTTAACAACCACCAATCGGAATTTGCCACTTGGGGTGCCTTTAAGCTACGCATTGCCGATGTGTTCGGTCGCCCCGAGGTACGCAAGCTCCGTGCCGAACAGCGCCTACGGGGACGCGCACAGCTTCAAGGAGAAGGCTTCACAAGCTACATCGAGGATGTGCTCGACTTGTGCAAGCGCCTTGACCCTTCAATGATTGAGGCAGACAAGATC